TCTGTAAAAGGAAGCCCAAAGTGGATAAACCTGGGTTCAGTTTTGCGATGAATCTTGCAATGAAACTGTTTTGGAATTTTGAAGCATCTTGGAGACTTCTGCCTGCCAGTTAATAGGTACCCCATTCGGTTTGTTTGATTTGGGAGTCCTTGCTTTCAAGTGCACCGCTTAAATGATCTTCTCTAACTGGAACATTCCTCATAATGGCCATTGTAATTCTAGGTTGTTTTAATAAGATTTTGCCACGTTTGTAGATATTTAAAGGTTCTGAGACTGTAGTTCTTCGACATAAAATAAGCAGGTGTATCAGTAGGTGATGTGCTTCAACTCTTTGGGATGATGATGATGATTACTGTTTGAGCTAAGCCTTTGGGTCTTTGGGAGCCAAACTAATATCTAAAAGGGATAGGCCGCTGGGTTGGGAGTTGTGTGATGTTTTACAGTGTACCTGATTGCATGGAAATTTTCTTGAGGTTGGCAGGTGACCCTAATATCGCTCTAACCTAACCTAATTCACCCTAACACAGGGGCCTTAGTTACGTGGGCCTAAACAGGGACTTGGGTCACCAGCACAGGGCCAGCTTGGGACACAGGACAATAAGTGTCTTATCTCTGGCCTGTAATAGGCCTTCCTGACCTCTCTTGCAGAATCACTGAAGCAGGGTCACCTCTGGGGTTCTGGCTGTTCTCTGGAGTCCTGTGTGGGTATCACTTTGGACCAGGAGTTGGCTGTGTGCTTTCCAGAGCAATGGAGTCCATCCCTTTGGGAGACTCATTTGTTGGCCTTGCTAGCCTTCCCTCTCTTTTCTCTTTCTAGAGTACAGGGCCTTGTGGAGAGCAGGCCGAGAGATCATCCCCAAGGAGGGCTCGCCTTCTTCTCAAAATTGTCCAAAGGTGGTGTTATGTGTCCTTGAGAATGGTAGCCAGAAAAATGGTCCCCAGAGATGCCACCTCCTAAACGCAACGACTTGTGAATACATTAGTGTACCTGGCATAGGGGGGCTAAGGCTGTTAACAGTTGACTTTGAGGTGGGGAGATGACCCAGGAGTGTGTGAGTGGACCCCATGTTACCACAGGGTCCTCAGATGCAGAAGAGCCCACATTAGAGCGATGTGCTGGCTTTAAAGATGGAGGAAGGGGCCATGTGCCAGGGAATGTGGGTGGCCTCCAGAAGCTGGAAATGGCAGGAAGACAGATTCTCCCCCAGAGCTTCAGAAAGGAACACAGCCCTGCCCGCAGTGCGATCTTAGCCCAGTGAGACCCATTGCAGACTCTTGACTTCCAGAACTATAAGATAATAAATGTGTGTCATTAAAATCCACTAAATTTGTAGTAATTTGTTCCAGGAGCCTTAGCCTTAGTAACAGAAGGAGGGCTTGCCTGCTAATAGACTCGTGTTCTTAGCCAGGTCCCACCCCTGGGAAGCCATGGGTCTACCTGGAGGCTCAGCCCATTGCCAGCTCATGTGGCTGCTTTGTCCCTGGAGGGACTTGCTCATCGCTGGTGGCCCCACGCCTGGGTTTTCATGGCCACACATAGAGAAGGGGACAAGACACAAAGACCAGGGCCAAGTTGGGCAGGAGGCTGGATCAGACACCCACCACCACCATCACCACCATTTAAGACCAAGGACCCCAAACTGGGAAAAGCCTGGATTCCATCATGTCTCAACCCTGGTTCGGGGGGGGAGTGAAAACATGCCTCCCTGGAGAATGCCTAACCACAGCCACCTCTCCCTGCGTCTCACGCCAGGCTGTGACTGGCCTCACCAGCCTTCCCCCTGGGCCTTCACCCACCCCACCTGAGGCTCTTGCCTTTGCCCACTCTCTGCCCCACCCCGCCGTGCCTCCTCCATATTTTATGAATCAAATTTTTCAGACTTCAAGGTCTAGAAATAGCTGTCGGCATCCTATATCGGCTTTCTAATGTGTCCCCCTTCGGGGGCTGAGTTGAGGGAAGGCATCCCTTACTGCCCTTCCTGGGGCCCTTCAGGAGCCCTTGAGGAGTTGGGTGGGGAGGCCAGGAGGTCCCCATGGGCCTCCCTTTAGGATGAGGAGACACCCCGGACCCACAGTTCTGGCTGCCCTTCCCGAGATACAAAGCTGTGCCTTGGGCCAGCCAGTGTCAAATACGTGGGGACTCATCCCTGCTTTGCCATAGCTTGACTGGCGGAAGACTTCTTAAATCAAAGTGCTGCCAGCTGCTTCCTGCCCTCCGGCTGACTGCTGAAGCCCAGCTACGGTCTCCAGTCACCTTGCCCTAAGACGTCTTTCATCTTCCGATGCGGAAGGAGTAATGACCACCTGAGGCAGCGCCTGCCGGGGGCCTTAATAATAGAAATAATAGTTGATGATTGGACACCTGTCCCCGCGTGGTGGGCGCTGTCAGGCCCTGGGCTCCTGTTACCTCCTTGGTCCTCCGTAGGCCCGTGAAGGCTCACGCGGCCGCTGGGCTGCGTCTGTGCGTGTAGTCAGGGCTACCGCCAGAGGCAGGCAGTGTCCCCACTCGTCGTGTGCCCTCCAGCTTCACTTTTCCCCATGCTGGTGACACCCACTCTCGCCTCCCAGGAAAGTACAGAAAGTCAGCAACAGCCAGCAGAGGAAGCGTCTTGGGGGGGGCAGCCCGGGCTTGGCAAGGGGTGGCCGCTGGATCCCACACCCCCCTCTGCACCCGGGATAGCGCGGGGCTGACCCAGCACGGCGCCCCTTTTTCTTCCTGCCTCAGCTGCCGACGATGAGACTAAATCTACAACCGTAGGAACTGGTTCCCCCAGCTGCCTCCTGGCAGCTGCTCCCGGTCCTTCAGCTGCTCTCAGGCCTGCTTTTATTTCTCCTCTGCTCTGGGCCTCTTTAGCTGCACAGCGACCTCAACTCCTTTTGTTTTGTTCTGTTTTGTTTTGTGTTTGATGTCCTCGGGCCATAAATCCTAAACAAATCGTACGAATCCTAAACAATCAAAAAGTTGCGCTGAAGTAACCAAGTCAAGCCAAATGTGGTAAAAAGGCCGTGACCCACCATGGATAAGGCCACAGAGTGACTCTGTACGTGAACTTGGAAACCGAATGAAGTGCAGAAGCTCTGGAGAAATTACGCCAGGCGAGGAGAAAATCCTCAACAGCTAGATCGCGTCCGTGTTCCCTGAGCCACCCGCCTTTGGGGAGACCGCGCTGTGCGCCACACGGCTAAATGCCCGTATTAGAGCCTCACCAGGCGGGGCTGCCCAGCCTCGTTGGCTGCTACTCAAACAGCTTCCCCACCAGGCTAAGAAATCTTTTTCCGAGTCCAAGAGACTAGAAATATGTCAAATACACCTCATTCCTGGCAGAGTTGTGGGGGTTTTATGCCCAAGGGCTTCGCCGACTAGAAAGAGAAGAGTAAACTTTTCAGTAATAATGACAAGATTATCAGAAAAATTTGGAGTGGCACATCCAGGATTCTGCCACTGAGGAGGGGATTTCGTGAGCACAGACAGGCCTGGCCAGGCGCCGTGTGAATTAGATGGAGCGAGCTTCCAAGCGCCCCTGGAGAAGCAGGGCGGGCGGCCACCAGCACCACCCTGGGCAGAAGTAACTGCTGTTAGAAACACCCTAATTTGTCCTGCGGCAGAATCGCCGAAGGCTGCCAAACCCATTCCTCAGCCAGCTAGATTGATCTAGAAGTACCGGGCAGGCTCACTTCCTATATCTCTTCTTCAGTCCTTTCTTAGCAATTAGCCGACACGGGGCGCCTGGGTGGCTCAGTTGTTAAGCGTCTGCCTTCGGCTCGGGTCCTGATCCCAGGGTCCTGGGATCGAGTCCCGCATAGGGCTCCCTGCTCCGCGGGGAGTCTGCTTCTCCCTCTCCCTCTGCCTCTTCCACTGACCCTGCTTGTGGTCACGCTCTCTCTCTGTCAAATAAATAAAAATCTTACAAAGAAGAAGAAGAAGACACACGACATAGCCCTGCTCAGCCAGGCTCTCCTCGTTCATCTTTTCTCTCGGTGCAATGTGGGTCCAATGGAAAGAGCAGCGCACGACTTGCGGGCCGCGTGCCCAGTGCTAGCTACCATTCCCCAGCCCTCCTAGAGTTTCGTCCCCGTCATAACTGTAAAGGCAGGACGAGCCCGGTAATAAAACGCATGCGAATGAGTCCTGTGTGCAGGGCACTCCTGTGGAGGCTGATCCCTGCGAGGTCCCTGAGAAGGTGACTGTGTCCCTATTCTGGGGGGGAAGGAAGAAGCTTGGTGGGCAGAGGTCGCTTGCCCCCGCTCTTCCGCCCGCTGCTTCCACCCTCTCGGGCGATGGTCACCAGCATGTCCCGGTCTCACCGCCCGGGTGGGAAATCGTGCGTTACCATCCAATGGTATTGGTTTTCCCATCCAGGAATGACATGCAAATAGTGGAAGCTTGCCCCCTTTTCTCCTCGGCCCCCTTCCTGCGGTCAGTTCCGCGCCCCCTTACCCCCAGCAGGCCTGGCCGCGCTCCCGCCTCTGGCCCCCGGGTCGGCCTGGCTGGCTGGCTGCAAGAGCCAGCATCGGCGTCAGAAAACTTGGTCGGGTGAAGGGTTAAATATGTTGAAATAAGTCTGGCCGTCACAAAAGAGGCGGCATTTTCACCCCGTACGTTTGTGGAAATACTTGCTGAAGGAAAACAACCACAACATTGTGCACGTCTTTAGGAAGAGAATGGCCAAAGTGTCTTTAATTCACTGTTTACCCGTGAGAATTACTCCCAGGAGTAATCCTGCAATAAAATCTTCTTGGTCTATGAGAATAGAAAGAAATTGAATCAAAAGACTCTATTTCCACTTGTATTTATTCAGTCTGGGAAATTCAGTGGGCCGGAGCATTAGTATCAGCAGGGGATTCCTTGCTCCTAGCGTTAAATTACTGTCATAATCGCTCAATTATTTCTTCCTTGTACTGTTTAAAATAAAAATCCATCACATTCTATGTTTTTTTTCTAGCATTTATTAGGTTGAGTGTTTAGGAAAATCAATTATAGTCAGTCAGGCATGAATTGATGAATGTTCTTGTAATAATTGTCAGTTGTTAAACTGAATGTACTTTCTCTCTCACACTTTTCATTTCCTTCAGAGGGCAGAGGTGGCTCAGAGAGAGGCGGAGACTTTGAGGGAGCAGCTCTCGTCGGCCAACCACTCTCTCCAGCTGGCCTCGCAGATCCAGAAGGCGCCGGACGTGGTGGGTAACCCAGCCCTGTGGGGACTCTGTCTGGGGAATGGGACCTGTAACGGTCAGGGGAAGAGTTTTGCCAATGGGGCATCGATGCTAAGTGGTCGGCGTGTCGCCCGCCGGACGTGGAGGCTGAGGCAGGGGATCGCCTCACGAAAGAGAGGGTCCTCCCGGCTAGGCCCGTGGGGAGACGGCTGGCAGAGGGTGGGCGTGTGAGGCAGGAGCCTTACCAAAATTACACCGGAAAATTGGAGGTTTGGTCTCCACCTCGATATGTCCTTCCAACGTGAGAAAGCAGTTGGTGATGAGCGGGCAGGCCAAAGATGGAATAAAGCAATAACTGGCTCCAAGCCTAGATGGTAGCAGACTCACTGCAAGTGCCAACATTCGGAAGGAGGCACACATCTTATGCCTTTGTATGCCTCTTGATTTTTCTTAAGATGAATAAAAATTGCTCTTAGATGGAACTTTCGCAGCTCAATCGAGGCAGCTTTGACTTGGAGATTCCAGGCTCCCGCCTTGAGCGCCGTGCAGTGACGCGGGGCAGCGCGGAGTTAAAACCTGGATATTAGAGCCGCGCCCCCGCGGTCAGACCCCAGCGCTGCATGACTTGGGCCAGGTAGCTTGACTTACCCGGGCCCAGGTTTCATCATGCGTGTTGTAAGAGTTCTGGAAGTTCTTCCAAGCAAAGCACTTAGAGCAAGTCCTGACCTAAAATCGGTGTCAGTCAACCTCAGCACGCACTTGCTGCAGTTGGCCTCACCATCTCTGATCCGGGAGCCCCGGGTTCAAAGCTCAGCTCGTCACCTGTTTGCCCACAGAGCTCAGGTAGTCAAACTTGGGCAGCCTCAGTTTCCTATGTGCAGAGTAGGAGTGGCCCCCAGGACCCTCCAGGTCCCGTGGCCTGTGGTGGGTGAGTTGTGCTTGTAGGTGCCCTAGATGACAAAGCAAAAGTTCCAGAATGTAAACCTGTGGGCCCAGAACACTTGGCCCCGGTGGCCAAGCCAGGACGCAACTGGGACTTCTTAAAATTATTCCCCAGGAGCGAATCTGAAGCAGAGTTTTAGTGTGAGGACCCCTTTTTAAGAACGGATTTTTCATTTTCTGTTCTTAAGTTAACATTACATTATAAAAATAATTAGTTAACTAATTAATTAATGAACACTCAAGAAAACATGATTGTTTCAGGGTACAGAGAAAAAATTTCCATTTAAGGAGCCATCACAACTTCATAGACTCTGGTATTCATTGTACCTGAAACATCCCCTTGGCTCTGTCACTGTCCCTTCATCCAAGCATGCCTGCACAGGACCCAGCACCAGGGCTGAGGCGGGAGGAAGCCCTCGAGGAAGGAGTCAGTTCAGTCTCTCCCGGCCTCTGTGGTCGCCTGGGGTTCTTGAGAGAAAGCCGTCCATCCTCATGTGTCTACACGGGGCTCCCGAGCTAAATGGTTTTGATTGAAAGGATTTCTGGCACCATCCAAGACTGCAGCAACCAAAACATTTCAGAAGGAAATGAATGTTTTTGCAGGTAGAGTAAGTTGTGGGTCCTCGAGGCGCTTAAACACTTCATCATGGGCTAAGTGCAGTATTTACGTGGCGCTGGTTCAGTTGTCTGAGAGCGGCCCTGCCAGGCCTCCCCCCTGGGCCTACGTTCCCAGTAGCCCCAGCTCCAGCCAGTTGGGGAGCAAACATAGGAAACGAGGCCAGCGGGAAAATGTCTGTTGGGCTTGGCTGGCAGGACTCGGCAGAGGAACAGTGGAGTCTATAGATCGAGCAAAAGCCAAAACCGATCCATTGGGTGTCTTAACGGAATCGCCAATCGTGGAAGGCTCGCCTCTCGGCGGGCTCTTGCCCTGTGGTGGGGGCCGCGCTGGGGCTTGATCTGGTGGTCTCCTTTATGCCTCGGGACACCACTGTCGTTAGAGGTAGGTTTTATTATCCTCGTTTTACAAGTAAGGGAACAGGCTCAGAGAAGTTATTTACCCAAGGTCACACAGCTCAAACCTGATCAAGCTGGAGTTTGATCCTAAGTTGTCTTACTCCGTAACGCACTCTTTTCCCCCCTCCATCGACCTACTCTCCTTCGTGTGCATTGAATGAGACAGGACATAAGCAGGTCCTTTGTCAAGTATTTATAGACAAATATTAGTTCAGGGCTCTGGTGCGCCACACCAGGCCACCCCTTGAACCTAAACAAACCATATATTAGGAAACATGCCTATATATCAGGCGACCCTACCAGGTAAGTCCACCAGATGGAATCAGCCTACTCTGGCCACTTGGTGTTGGCAGAAACACAGGAGGTCAGTAAGAAAGTAGAACTGAGGTCCCCATGCCCTCGTCTTTCCACCACTGGGATAAATATAAGTGAGGTATCTGTCTCTGAGTCTGGGGCCCTAGGCGCACCATCATTTCATGTAAGGTTCTTTTTCCCTGTCTCGAGTCGTACTGTTACATCTCATCCATATTTGATATGGAAGTGGCTGCAGGATAAAAGAGGTCATTACGTAGCTTATCTGGGCCTGGGCGTGCTGGTCTCCATTGGAGGACTCAGATGCACGCAGCTTGGGAGGGAGGGGTGGTGAACAGGGTTCAAAGGGACAAAATTCAGTCAAGTCCTACCTAAGTAACTTCTGCTTTTACATTCATTTTTCCCTTTGGACTGTCATCATCTTAAGGCCTTCCTTTTGTTTTTACCATGTTTTCAGACTCTACAAAGCATCTTCACACATCCTGTCCTGGCCCCTGAGCCGTCGGTGGCCCCACCCCCTGGAACCTGGCACTCGTGAATAGTGTAGGAGCCCCTAGAGGTCTTGGAAGCCTGGAGCCATGGGACTAGCCCTGCTGGGACAGACTTGGTTCTGGTGTCCACTGTGGGAAGTCAGTTCTGTTCCTTCCTTCAGAGGCTTATCCCAGCCAGAGTCCTGACCCTGAGCCTCAGTCTCCAGGGGAGGGCCCAGAACCCATGTATTTTCTAAAGCCCCCAAGTGCTTCAGGTACAGCTGAATTGAGGCCCAGAGAGACACGCGGGAGCCAGCAGTCCTGACCCTCTTGGAATCGTACATTTCACTTCCTGGCAGTGATCACAAGAGCGTCTCAAGTGCCTGACACTGACCTTCCCGCAGCTGTATAGAGCGCCCCTCCTTTCGGCCCATGTTCGCTGTGTTGCACAACTTCCTTTCTAGCTTGTTGCGCAGGCGCTGAGACCCAGGCCCAGACCTCCTTCCACCCCCTGCCCCTTGATCACCTCCTGGGCCCTTGTCTGGTTCTTCCTTATCTCCTGCGTGTCTTCGGGATGGGACAGCCAGGAAGTGAGCCCCATTTGGGCTTCGAGTAGAATGACCTTTTCTGTCTCATTTCCAAGGTCTTAACTGCTTTCGGGTGGATGATCTCATATCTTGGAGCTTATGTAAAACACAAATGACTTTGGCTATGTTATGAATGAGGAATCCGGCTTGGGTGCCTGAGAGTCCGTTGAAGTGCCCAAGGTCACACGGCCGGCGTGGGGCCAGGCCAGTCTCAGCCCCTGGAGTTGAGCAGATGGCCCTCTGGGACGGCCTGCCCCCAGGTCCCCATCCTGAGTCCAGGCTCAGCACTGCCGGCTGCTGTTTCTACACATATCATTTGAACCACTTATCCCTGGTATATTCAACTTGCACTTGCCCGTGTAAAGCCCCAGCTCCCCATCTGGCTCGTTGTACAGACTCTCCCGGAGAGCACTCGAAACCATTATTATGGCTGGCATCCCTCAGGTTGGAAAATTGATAAATAAGTTAAAATGAGATAATGCGGCTCAATCTCTGCCCTCCCCCCCCCGCCCATGAGACCAGCCTCCCTGGATATCCCTCTCATCGTGTCCCCTCCCTGCTCCCCCAGGCCCACCACCACAAGTGCGGGCACCTCTGGCCACCCTCCTGACAAGGCCCACCAGCCTTTCTGCCCCCTTCCCTCCTCACAGCTCACTTCCACATGCTTCTCTCAGTAATGTCGTAGGCACTAACCCCTGGCACGACCAGGAGGATTGATCTCAGGTCCCCGTGGCTCCTGCCGAGGGCGGGGCTTCCCACACGCTCAGAGGTCAAGGGTGGGTTTGGTTTTGTTGTTAATTCCCGATCTGTTGCAGACTGGTCATTTTACAAAAGACAGTAAAAGCGTCACAGCAACGTTGAATTGCTAGGAAAGTTTTTAAACACTCGCTCTCCCGTTCCGGGCTTGTCTCCCTGTGTACCGGCAACATTTTGTGAGTTGGCGCCAGTTCGGGGAGCACACTCTGAACAGAACTAATCTGGACAGCATGTGCCGTTTAAAGAAGCAGGCAGGAAGATGCTTGCCGGGGCCACGTGTGTGTCTGCCAGGACTCAGGAGGAATGAAGGCCTTACTTTCCAAGAGAGTACAAACCCAAGGAACAGCAAGGAGTCACTCCTTTGCACACAGAGCTTTACATTCTTAAATGATCAGGTCCTTAAATTCCCAGCAGGGAGAAGTAAAAAATTGCTTCCCTGATGACTGGCTGCCCCCCAGCATGAGAACCCTGTGACAAGCACATTGTGCCTGGCTGCCAGTATGGGCAAGAGCAAGACATGAATTGGGGTACTTCTGGAGGTGAAGGGGGGCATGACACCGAGGATGATGACACCCACCCTGTAGCCTGAGCTGCCCCCAGGTCTCTGCTGTCACAGAGACTAGTGTGTCCTGTCCTTCCGTCTCTGTCCCCTGGCTATGCCCAGAAGAAGTGCAGCCACCCGCCAGGAAAGCTCCCAGAGTCCTTCAGGAGCCAGAGTTCCTTTTAAAACTTGAATAAAGAACAGCTTTAGTCCTTGGGACGTAGAACTGACTTTTTTTTTTTTTTTTTTTTTTTTTTTTTTTTTTTTTCTGCATATTTTCCAAAATGAGCAAATTGGGGGGTGGGCGGTAAGTTTTTAACAACATCAGTTATCATAAGCGTTCCTAAGCAAAGAATTACCAAATGCATTCTTCCACATCTTTTAGCTCTTTTTTAAAATGCTGAATCTGAGAATCAGTTGGTCAAACACCATCCCAGCCTCTGGATAATGCAGTAGCGAACCAAAGGGGTGTTGCATTGCATCTTGGGATAGAAAATCCTAATGCTTCAGAGCTTCCAGGGGACCTCCTCAGCCTGCCCCATTGGCACCCCCAGCACACAGCAAGACCCTTTCTGTCACCTTCAGATGGTGACTCACGTGTCACCATCTCAGCGAGGCTTCCTCTGAACATCTTCTTAAAACCCCACAGGCTCACCCAAGTCTGACCCCATGCCCCTCCCCCACTTCAGTTTTGGGGTGGCACAGTTGGGGCCTAACATGCTTTGGCATCTCAGACACCTAGCCCCACCCCCTGACTGGATGCCCCGGGACAGCAGAGACTGTTCTCCCTGTGCTCACAGAGTGTGCCTGGTTCCTGGTGTGCACCCAATAAGTACTTGTCCATTGGCCAAATCCAGGCGCATTTGCCATGCAGACGGGAAGGTGGTGCAGGGAGGTGTTGGCAAGTGCATCTCAGCAGAGGCAAGAGATAACGTCACCATGAGTGCGCTGTCCCCATCACTCCACCTGCACGTTCTTGCCTCCGTTGCCGGCACAGATAAACACAAGCCCCACCCGAAGCCAGGGCAATTTTGTCATTTCCTTTCTCCTCCGCAGGAGCAGGCCATAGAGGTGCTGACCCGCTCCAGCCTGGAAGTTGAGTTGGCCGCCAAAGAGCGGGAGATCGCCCAGCTGGTGGAGGATGTGCAGAGACTCCAGGCCAGCCTCACGAAGCTGCGTGAGAACTCGGCCAGCCAGATCTCCCAGCTCGAGCAGCAGCTGAGTGCCAAGAACAGCACGCTCAAAGTAAGAGCGCTCTGGGGGCCACGGGCTGAGGGAGGGCTGGACGCGCACGCGCACACACCCCTGCTGCCTCTGCCTTCTTCTACATGTGACCCTGGAGGAGCCTGGGGCCGGTTGGCCCAGGGGGTCACTTCTGTCTTCACTGTCTGGGGCACGTGCTGGATGTGGTGACCACCACAAGAGGCCTTAGCTCAGAAGCCACCTTGTCAGCCCTGCCTTGGCTGTTGCACAAGTGTTTTTCACGTTTGTGGTCCGCACAGGTCACGGTTAGAACTCGTCCTCACGTTAAAAGCAGAAGGGATGGCTCAGGTTTTTTTCAGCCTGAGCTCCAACCATCAGCAAGAGTTTTCCCTCCAGTGAGAACAGTGGCAGCATAAGGAGGCATGAGGTTCCCCTGGACACAGCTCTCACGGGTGCACAGGTGCTGTCTGAGCTCCTTTCCGGAGAGCATCTTGTCTGGAATTGACTGCAAGTAGGGCAACCTTGAACCTCTGTGAGGGAACTAGAAGCAGGGTCCTGGAGCCCAAGGCAGGGAGAGTGACTTTGAACCCTTCTACCAGCTCTTGCCTGAACGGCACTGCCCTTGATGGGCCGTGTGTTGCAGGCAGCACTTGGTAGAAGGCCCCGTCGTCAGCGCCCACCCACGGTGCTGCTTCCCCACCTGGCATCCCAGAGACAGACATTCTGTGCACCTGCTTGTGTGGGGTTGGAGTGGTTGCCAAGGTCACAGGCCAGCTGCACAGACATGCCTTGCATCCAGCTCCGCCAGCCTTTCAGTATATTTTAAAAAATAATTATACTTGATTTAAGATTTTTCAACCTGCTACAGTTAGCACCATATGAAGAAAATCCTCGCACCCTAGATTCGTGGCATGTCAGGGCCAGAAGGGCCTCTTCGGAGGTATCTTACTTGATGATAAGCAACAGGGCTAGCGAGAGTGTGGGCCCGGCCCCCAGGCCAGCGGGCCCCCACTCTGCCATCCCTCCCTAGCCTGTGCGATGCCCGCCTAGCTTCCGTTTGCGGAGCGTGCGAATGATGGCCAAGCCTAGTCTTCATGTACTAAATACAGTGCATCAAGATCAGTTGTAAAAATGTCAGGAAAACTTTACCTTCAGTAAAGTAATTCCAGAATGTAGTTAGGCCCATCTTAATTTTTTTAAAAAACTGAGATTTCCCTTCCCAACTCATGCCCGTGTTTCTGACCTTGAGCCAAGTTTCCAGCAGGTCGGCAGGTCGTGGGCCTGACCTCCCTGACCCGGGGCACCCACCGCTCTCCCTCCCTGGTTTCCTCCTGGACTCTTCGGGGTGCGTTTCCTCCAGTGTCTGAGGAGCCAGTCCTGCTGACTTTGGGGAGAGGGTGGACACATTTGTCATCGACCATGACATTTATTTCTCCCATGGTTCTTATTCTCCCATCAGCCTGCCCAGTGAGTGCCAGCATTCATCTTTTATTTCTAGATTAAATCTAATTTTCTCGTGTTACAGCCATTTCTGACCCCAGCAGTGACATTATTATTAGATAATTTGCCTTTCTCTGCTTTGTTACAGTTAAGGGGGGCCTCAGATACATCCTGCATTTGACTATGAGAGGGAGGCTATAGAAGTTACATTTTTTATTATGGAGCAATTTCTTCTAAATCAGTTAAGGTTTTAATGTTTGCCTTCACACACACACAAAAATGAAACGCAGTTTTACAAATTAATGTTCTTTATCCATATCTTGGGGGAATTCTTTAATACGGTGCAGTTAATGAAACAATTTGGCAATACTTCTTCCAAAATTATCGCTCCCTTATCTTCATCTGATCTCATAATCAAAACATATCCTCTAGTAACAAGACTTCTCTGATTCTAATTATCTTAACCCCTTGTCACCAGGAGTGAAGATCTCCCCAATACTGAACTCGCACACAAAAGGCATTAGCCTCCCCCAGACGAGCGCATCTACCTCCCTCACCCGAAGGAGTAAGGTTAATTGAATGAGATACCTTCCCAGGGCTTTTTTTTTTTTTTCCTAATGTGTATAATTTATAGTCTCAAATCTAAACTAAACAGCAATGCAGTTATTAGGAAAAATAGGTTATGAATGAGACCCGTCAAATTGGCAACCTGATGCTTTTGTAATGGGGCTTCTCCGGACGGGAGTGGCACCTGAACTTCCCCTGGGGCTTTCCTTTCCTGCTCCTCCGTCTCCCACCCCAGCCCCCCCCAGTCTTTTCCTTCTGGGACCATGTCATTCAGCCCCAGGGGACGCTGGGATACACGGTGCGGGGCTCAAACTGGGATCACCATCTGAGGGTGCTGCGGCTTGAGGCCCAGCTCCGCTGCTTGGCGTTGGGGGTGGTTTTGCCATGAATGTTGACGATGGTCTTTGAGACAAACGCTAACGTGCTTGATGACAGTCACTGAGGAGATGTGGGGGTTGATCTCACAGGGCAGAGTCTCCACTCTTGAGCTTACTGGGGTTTCAGTGCCATACCCTGAAATGGAATATATTTGGGGGAGGGGGCCGTTGATTTGCTTTCTCCAGCACCTTGAAAGTCTCCATCTCTTGCAACTACTGTTTCCTCACCTAGACGATCGATTGGTAATTCCGTGAGGATGAATCAACAGTTGGATGTCTGCCAGTCTCTTTTTCCCCGTGTTCTACTTTCTCAAGCCAAGTTCACCCTAAACACATCGCTATCCACATACAGTGGTGCCCCCCTCCCCTTTAAATAGACATGGAAACAGACTCAGAAATGGGAGATGTTTCTTCCTGCCGAATCTGACAAGTCCTCAAGCACATTGCCACTTGTACAGGATAATTCTGTATTTGTAATTAATGAAGTAACCCGGCTGCCATTACAAGACTGCTTTTTTTGATAACTCTATTCTGTGGTCTTCTGTTGGAGCACTTCAGTACAGAGGCAGTGTAATTAGGCAGTCACCTGCATTTTACTTGCTAAAGCACGGAAAATCATGCTACCAATAGCTGCAATTTAAAATGGCTATTTATACGAAAGGCTAGCTAAAAGAATGCCCATCTCCCATCGGGAGAAACTGGTATTTTCTAAAGATGAGTACTTCCCACTGGGGATGGAGGGTGTATTAGAATCACCGGGGGGGCTGTCTCCAGGGGCCTCCCCTACTCTCTGTCTCCACCCCACCCCCTGCCATCTCCTGCAGTTCGATGGGTCCTATTGAGCCACCACGGAGCACGCTGTGTCCCTCAGAAGGTTGGGCCGGGAAAAAACGAATGACCACTTCTCTAGATTCACTCAGTTCTTTGTTTCTGGATGCTGGCACTTTGATACATAGGTTCCCTAACGTACTGCAATGAGGCTGCCTTCAGTCTCGTTTCAAAGAGCGTCTTCTCGATGTCTCAGCCTCAGCACATGAGTAGCCATGATGATGCTCGTGGCCTCGCGGAGGAGGTCTCTGAAGTTAGGAGAGGCCCATGCATGTCCCTCCACTGTGCCCATCCCCCAGTAGGAGAGACTTACCCTGGGTCGCACAAACGAGCCCGAACATCAAAAGTCCCAGTAGCAGAGAGCCCGGGGCCGGGCCTCCCCCAGCCTTGTGCTGGCTGGGTCTCGAAGGTGGTATGAGCACAGATTCTTGGAGAGGAAGGAGTGAGGCTTCCGTGCGGAGCAGGAGGCCACAGGTAGGCCCCTCCAAGGCGGCTGTAAACCAGGGCGCATTACTAGAAGTGCTTTCAGGAGCTGATTACTTGTGGGAATCTGTGAGGAGGCCTCTCGGAAAGATACACATTACCCTGGACACCTTGTGTTGGATCCGGGTGTTCCACCTGCAGGCAGCGTCCCGGTGGCCTGAGCGTTGAGGCTGGACCCTCCTGGGCTGTGACGGCACCGTTCTGTGAGAAGGAGTCAGCTGCCTGGCTCACACCTGGATCACAGCTCAGGGAAATTGGAAGTGACCTCTGATAGGGTTGCCTTCCTGGGGATCCCCCTTCACTGTCCGGGGTCACACTTCTCCAGCCTGTGGCGAGTCCTCCAGGATAACCTTCCCCGTCACAGTCTGGCCGTGTGTGCACAGGGCCCACCTGGGCCCCCTGGGCTTCCCCTGCCCCCAACACATGCCCGGCATCAGTAGATCCTAAATTTACGTGCCTGCTACCTCTCACCAAGGAATCGTGGAGACCAAATGGGTTCCCCATGCAGGTAAAGGAGGGTGCACACAGCCTCAGCCGGGACCTCAGAGATGACCCCAAGGGGCGGGGCATCAGACCCACCTCCCCCAGACCAGGGAGCGCAGTCATATGTCCCCATTCTCGGCTGGTGACCCCTCACCCCAGGGGTCCCCGTGAAGACACAGGGTCACACACCACTGCCCCAAGCCTGAGCTGTTGGGCTTCAGAGAACACTGCTGAAAGCCTGGCTCTGACCATCTGGGAGGAAAGGTAAAGGCATCTGCACCCGGCAGCGGGGTCATCTCCCCAGCCCACCATCTGTTTCATGGTAAGGATGTATTACCGCCCTGCGCCTGCTGTGCTGCCCAGAAGAAAGGCCTTTCCGAGGGTCTCCACATCAGTCTTCCCGTCAGGGGTTCCGTGAGTTGGTAGCCCTAGAGCATTTTAAGAACTTCATATGGATAATTCTTCTAGCAACTCAGGATCCTTTTGCTGAGCACCTGCTAAGCTCCGGGGACCACGTGTGCGCTCTGTATTGCTAAATGGGTGGGACCTACATCCTGCGACGGTCCTGTCTTTGGGAACCCGTTTTCTTACTCTCCCCATTGTCCAGGGGAGGAGCATGAGGCCCAACAGGCTAAGCCCGTTAGGAAGTAGAGAACTTCATAAACAGAGCCCCTGGATTCAGAACCAGAGAGCCCCTTCCAAAATCACAGTCCTCTCCAATACCACCCCCCAGGGATAAAGTCCTAATAACACCAGTAACAGTAACCACCCCCCATCTCCAGAGTGCTTGGTCATGTGCTGCTCATTCCATGGGCATTATTCTATCTGGATCTCACCAAAGCACGGTACCATGGGTGCCATTATCCCCATTTTATAGATGAATAAACTGAGGCTCAGAGAAGTTCAGTGTCTTGTTCAAGATCACCCTGCAACTAAGTGGCAGAGCCAGGCCTTGGTTGATCTGTCAGGCTCTGGAGCCCAGGCCTCCAGCGAGCACCTGGCTTGACCTCCGCACACATAGGTTCCTCCTGGAATTGCAGGGGAGGCGGGGGCGGGGGCGGCCTCCCGCTCGAGCGCGATCTGATTGTAGAACTCGGTGATTTGTTTTCTTTCTGTGGGCACACAGCCACCTCTGCAGAGATGGTGCAGCAGTGAAGTGAGATAGTGTTTGGGGCGTAGACCCCAGCACCGAATCTGGCCCAGCCAAGGAATACTTGAGAAATCTGGGAGGAGCCTTTCTCCCCAGAGGACAACAGACAGAGCTGTTGCCCTTTCCAGGTGGAGAGTTTTTGAAGCTAGACTTTTTAGGCACCCAGCAAGGAGTCTGTGGTCAAAGACCCAAGCAGAGGATAGAGTATGGCTCTGGGAAGTCAGACTCCCAGACGTTGGTGAGGACGGGCTCACAGTGCTCACAGGTCCGGACAGGCTTTGCATCCTGTTGTCTGCATCCTGTTGTCTTCCCCAAGAAACGAACATCAGAGGTTTACAGAAGCAGTCTTGGGGTTCTTCTTGATTAAGCTGCCCCCGGGTAGGCGGCAGAAATTTCAGCAGACGATTCAGTCCTCAGCGAAAACCATACATCCGACCAAGTGACAGGACTCCAGTCCTAAATCCTTCTCGTTAGGGCCCCTCACGGGTCTGCAAAGCCATGCTCCCTGGGAGACTTGGCATTGGTGACAGCCCCACATCAGAGGCCCCGTGGTGCCACATCCGCAGCAGGACCTGGCCCTGTGCTCCTTCCCCCAACCCTTTGAGGTCATTGCTGCCCTTGCATATTTCACAGATGAAACACTGATTACCGTGCCCCGAGGTGTCCCGCTCATAAGTGACGGACCTAACTCCAGGTTCAGTGCCCTGCTGGCTTCTACAGTGCTCCGGATTTTCCCCTCTCGCTGCCCTCCCTCCTGTCTCCTGAACACGAGCAAGTTTAATGTGTTCATAGCCGGCGTCTGTGAACTGCACAGCCTGAAAGGTGCCTTGCATCCCAGCGGCACCCTATCGTCTTTTGTTTGGGATGGCTGACACACGACTGTAGGGAGAATGAAGTAATCACTTCTTCGAGAGCAGCTTCGGAGACTCTTTTGTCGGAAAATGAGTGTATGCTACCCACCCCACCGCCCCGTTTGATTACGATGAGGAACCATCATGATATATAAAGTTGGCAAGAGGTCATAAAAAGGAACGAGGGCAGAGCACTTTTACATGATGGAAATACACAGAAGAATTTGCCAACAAAGGCAATAGGAAAAGATGAGCTAAAATTCTCTGACAGTGGGCAGGGTGAGATCCAGGTGAGCATCACGCCTGATGGGCCAGACGGGCATCTCCTCCCCAAACTCTAGAACATTCTCAGTCGGCCTTAAACTGTGGCTGCAGCCATGGCTGGCCAAGCACTACCTAAAAAAGGCAACTGGGAGCGCTGTGGATTCGGGACCTGGAATTTGTTCACCCCAGGCCTGGAAACATGCTAAATCGTCAGCCCTCCCCCGCCCCAGGGTCTTTGTGTTTTATGTGAGGCGGCCTTATTCCCTTCCCCTTCATGGGAGGTCAAGAGCAAACTAGTCCAAACACCCTCGCAGAAGGGAGCATCCTCTGCTGACCACCCAAAGCCAGAGGCCCCTCCTAGCAAGAAAGCCGCACAGAGCACTGCACAAACCAGCCACATCAGGGCCTGTGAGCTCACAGAGCATCTCATAGCCGGGGTGCGTGTTGTCTCATTCCCCCTCTGAGGGGCATTCAAGTGCCAGGGAGTCAGTTGACGGTGCCCAACCTTGGCCCTGCTGACCAGGTGCCCTGCAAGGGCCCTCCCGCGGGACTCAGACAAAAAGACCACCCAGCTCACCGGGCCTCCGCTCCTGAAGTGCCCATGTCCAGGGGCGGGGGGGTGGCGCAGATCTGAAGGTTCAAATGCTTTTTCCCCGATTCCTATCTGATGCCAACACTCAGTGACAAAGGGCTCGTACCTCTTGTTAGCAGGGTCCCACCAAAGGTGTTGACAACTGACTGCACATGTCAGCTGGCCTAATGTGTCTCGCGAAAAGCCACACGTTGATGTGAAAGTGCTGAGCACTTTTCTTCGCTCTGTTTGCCATTTCGTGGTATTTCCTACAAAATGGCCTTTTCTCATTCTGTTTTCCACTTTGGTAAAGCTCTGTTCTACTTGGTTAGGTTTGATATTACACCTTATATTCCCGTGTGTGTGTTTGTGCACATTCACACTTCCTCACACCCACACACACACCAGACCAGAAGCGTGAAGGTCAAGAAAGCAACCCCGCACGTTGGCACCATTCACTTCACGTTTGCGTTTCCTTTCAGGGACAGCTGGACGTTCCCTAGGACTGGAGTCCATGAAGGCTGTCCTAGTGCCATAGCAGGACGTCATGACCTGGGCGGTTTAAACAAAAAACTTGTATTTCTCACAGTTCTGGAGGCTGGGAAGTCCAACATCAGGGCACTAGCAAATTCCGTGTCTGCTGAGGACTCCCTTCCTGATTCCCAGACCAGTGTCTGCTTTCCCACCCTGCCCACGCATTGGGGTGTGCCATGGGGTCTCTGTGCCAAAGGCACTGATCTCATCCATGGGGCTCCCCCTCCGGTGACCCAGTCGCCCCCAAAGGCCACGCCTCCTAACACCATCACCCTGGAGGTTGGGTTGCAACACACGGATTTGGGGGTAGGGGGTAGAGGGACACAAGCATTTGCTTCATAGCGAGGTCCGTCAACCCGTTGCAGACACAGCCACTAATAAAATTCCTCTGTTTTCAGCAACTGGAAGAAAAACTCAAAGGACAGGCTGACTATGAAGAAGTGAAGAAAGAACTAAAGTAAGTGTGGAGACGCCGGTGCGGCCGCCCACAAGCCAGGGCTTGCTGGTCACTTCTCCTAAGGAACCGCTGTGCCAGGGACAGGGCAGCCGCGGGCCCTCGCTCTGGGCCTTGGCAGCCGCTCCCCCACTACACCGTGTCCCAGGCTGCTCAGAGCCGTGGGCGTGTGCACTCAGGCCTGTGCCTGAGCTCTGGGGACTTTTTCTAAGACGCCGTGCATTTCAAGTATGCCAGTATGCACAAAATTAGGGGAGATGGTGCCCTGATAGAAATTACGAAATATGAGCTTGTGTGCCAGCAGTAAGTTCCCCAAACAGGAGCAGAACAGAGAAATGTTTTGTTTTGGGGTTGTTGTTGTTTTTAAGATTTTATTTATTTATTTGTTGGGGGGGGCGGCAGGCAGAGGGAGAGGAAGAAGCAGACTCCTTGCTGAGCAGGGAGCCCAGTGCGGGGCTCGATCCCAGGACCCCGGGATCATGACCCCCGCCAAAGGCAGACGCTCAACTGACTGAGCCATCCAGGTGCCCCCAGGGGAGTGTTTTCCAGTTGAAAGCCTACACGTGGCCTCATACCACCACCCCCCGCCCCTGACCACCTTCAGACACCAGGACTTTCTTCTCTCAGCTTCCAGTTTCCCATCCGAAGGCAGTAGCTGAAGTCCTGTCACCCCGCCAGTGCTAATGCGAACATTCTCAAGTAGAAGTGCCCACACTCACGCCCCGCCTCCTAGTACCTCAAACTCCTTCCCCCAAGGCTGCCCCCGGCCCTCCTGGAGCTCATGGGCAGCCCCTGCCTCCATGGCCGAGCTCTGAAACACGGCAGACGGTCACCGGGCCCTGCAGGCCCGTGTTCTCCGCTGCTGCGGGAACACGGGGTCCTTCCTCTGCTCCCCCCTGTTGGGCCCCAACCCCTCCACAGACACCCCCTTAGCCTCAGGCTCCCCTCTCTGGTGTTGGTGTTTCCCTCCCGTCTCTCCAGGCTGACCCCCCACCCGCACCCCGGATCCCTTCCTACTCCTCTGCTATCCCATCAGCCCCCCCTCCTGACACTTTTAATTTCTCCTTTTAAAATAAGCCTACACCCACTCGCCATGCTGTTCTTTGTAGTCTCAATTCCATTCCCTCAGGATTGCTAAAAAAGCCCACGGGAAGGCCTCTTGGACCTTCCCACCACCAGGGCCCGTCACCCTCCCTCAGTCATGAACTCCCCCAGCCTCGCTGGCGACTTGCCTGCAGGTGGCTTCTCAGCCCGGTGCCCAGAGGCCCAGCGTGTCTCTCCCTGGACGGTGTCGCCCCCTCTGGCCGCAGACAGCCTTGCAGCACCTCCTTGGACACCCCCCCCCCCACACACACATCTGCCTACATCTTCCCTCTTCCAACCCTGAGGCGTGTGCTATTCACCTGTCTGACCTTCTGTATCTGCTTCTCCTGTCCCCATCGTCCTTCCTTCTGCTCTTCCTCCCACTGAGAAGAAAACAGCCTGTGCCTTCTAGTGCTGAGTCAGAGAAACTCTGATGTGAAGGCCTCCTCCCCCAGCCTCTGCCCATCCACGCAGCTCAGTCCCGACGGTCCTCTTAGCTCACCTCCGTTCCCATGCGCGACACGATCAAGGTCCATTCCCTCCCACGCAGCCACTGCATGCTTCCTCCCAGACCTGCGCCTGCATTCCTAGCGGCCCTTTCTGCTGCACATGCACACCGTGGCCCCCCTCAGCCCCAGGTCTGCATCTGAAGGCCCCACTCCGATGGCTTTTCTGCTAAAATACGCCCCTGCCCTCCCACTTCCTAGTGATCCAAGGGCCCTTCCAGACACACGCCCCACCTCCCGTCCTATCTCTGCCCCAGGCCCCCTGCCCACCTCAGTGGTCTGTAAAATGCCCTGCTCCTTCCAAGCCCTTCTTAGACACTGACTCCTCCTGACACGGACCCCGTCTCTAACCCAAGGAGGTTTCTGCTGCCAGCAGCGCCCATCAGGTCTTCTATGTTGGGTGCTATTTGGATTTTGTCGTCTACCTGTAACAGCCTGTGGAGTTTGCAAGGGCGAGGGGCAGAGCGGTTCTGATCCTCTGAGTGCCCAGCACCCAATAGGTCATCAGTAAAGATCCAGCGAATGAACGAACAGACGCCGGTGTTTTGGGTGTAAGCTTATAGGCTCACTTCAGTCTTTTGTTACGTGATCCTAAAGATCTCAGACAAGAATATAGCTGCAAACGTGACGGCCGTAAAAAAGGACAAGTTCCAGACTGCTCGTCACTTCTCTTCCGGCTGATGCAATGCGGCCCCTGAGTTATTATTTTCAATAGCTCACCATAAAATAAAATTACGAGGTTTCCTTCCTTCCCCCCACCCCCCAGCTGCTCTTTCGTTCCTTTTCTGTTGGTCTGTGGGACACGGGCCACTACGAAGATAAAACCACAGATAAACTAAGCCGTCAGCTTCTCACTGACCACCACAGTGGCTGCAACAGAGTGGTCTCCCGGGACCCTGGGCATTTTTACACGGTGCTCTTGACGCTTCCATGGGACTTAAAGAGGGCAGAGGCCAAGGTCATGGCTGCGAGAACGCTGGGAGAGCACAGGTGGCCTGCTGCCGGGGACCACAGCCGCTTTCGCTCGCCTTCCCAAGCGCCTGGGGCCATGTGGACTCACTGTCCTTCCCTCCCAGATAGACTCACAGAAAGGAAGGAATGTCCCTTTGAAAGGAACACTGGAAACAGTGGTTCTGGGCACCTGAACTCCCTCGGCTCTCAAGACTTGTGGAAACAAGCTGAGACCGAGGCGGTTTCAGCGATAAGGAGAACAAAGGAGAAACAGTCCTGCTCCCCCGCAGCGCCTGGGGCTGCAGAGCAGGTCTGTGGCCAGCCTTGGAGCCAGGCAGTTTGGGACCTTGCTTTTTGCCTATTTTCCCAGGTCCCTGCATGGCAGCCACCAAGTGAGCATCTGGCCCCCCGGGGCAGGTGGGAGGGATGAGGTTTCTCTCTCTGGCTTCCTTCTTACAACTTTTTCATTCCCTGTAAGCTTGACAAATACATTCCACTTGCAACAATGTTACGTCTGTGTTCAACTTTAAAATTATACTCCGAACAGCCCTGGTGTGATTCCATATGGAATGATTTACATGCTGGGCAAGAAACTTTTGCTGGCCAACTGCTAGTTGAATAGTTATTCTGGAGACACTATCAGATTATAATGCTGCCAGGGAGGTTGTTAAAGCTGTCAGTTCCTCTGTTCCTGGAGTGCAGGAAAGTGTAATGTTAGTGCTCATTAGTGTGGCAGTTATCAAAGGTAGGAGTGGGGAATAACCGCTCTGTCTTGCTCTCCACAGCATTCTGAAATCCATGGAGTTTGCACCGTCCGAGGGCTCTGGGACACAGGTATGCGCTCTCGTTTGCTCTCTGTGTGCGTGAGGGCCAGCTCGCCTTGGTCACTGCCCTTCCCCGAGCAAGCCTCACGCTCTCGAAATTTCCGTGGAACCCTCCGCCTGCAGCTGACGAGTCATTTCCTGGGAATCTTAAGCAAGTTCAAGCACATTATCTTTAATTAAAAAGAGGCAGGAAGAGAAAAGTCAGTGTTTTCCAGACGGGTAGCTCAGTTCACATGACGTTGTGATCTCACTTGGGCGGGCACTGAGCACATGGGTAAGACCACTTTTAGGTTGTGTCAGAGACCAGCCCCAAACGGACCGGCTTAGGAACTTTCTTTATCTGCTGCCTCACGTGGAAAAGAGGTGGGGCAAAATGACCATGGTGCCCGGTAACCTGGTGGCCAGGGAGAATTTAAGGCATCAAATGGAATCCCGCTCCTGATGTCCAGACGGCAGCTGACTCTTTGTGGCTGGTACCAAGGAAAGCTTAACCTTGGTAGCGACCTCCGGACAGGTCTGTGGCTTGGCAGCCAGTCCGCGTGCCAGATGAGGGACGGATTTAGACTCCTCGACCTTGGGGACGGCATAGAGAATAGGAGTTGTCTAGAAGCCACACAGGTGTAAAAGAAGAATGACTGCGACAGGAATGCATCCTTTTGGAAAGGCTCTTGAGTGCTCTCCACGCGTGTGGGAGCATCTCCAGGGGAAGGCAGGTTCCTATAACGCATGGGAGTCAGAGAGTGGGCTGCACAGGCCATCGGAGCAGGGATTTCGGGGTCTGGCGGCCCCGGGGAGCGGGCGGGTGGCCGGCCCCACAGTGAGCCCTGCTCTGCCCCATCTAGGACGCGTCCAAGCCCCTGGAAGTGCTGCTGCTGGAGAAGAACCGCTCGCTACAGTCCGAGAATGCCGCGCTGCGCATCTCCAACAGCGACCTGAGCGGTAGGTTGACAGGGTCTCGCGTGCCGTGCTCGGTCCCTTCCGGGGGTCGAGGAAGAGGAAGGTGAACCGTGAGTCTGGGCCGATGCATGACGGGAGCATCAGCGGTTGATGACAGCCTTGACTAATGAGCGCTTGGTCTCCTCCTGGTCCTCCGCACGGCTCCTCCCCTCCCCCCGCCCCGCCTACCGACGCGCACGACGAGGCGCGTGGCCGCAGAGCACCTGCGGAGGTCAGTCAGGGCCGGTGTTGCAGGAGAGGCCAGGAGGGACACTCAGAGGATGGTGGCCTCTCTGGTCCGTTCCCAGTCGTGCGGCCTCTGTCTTGTGGTGGTTCTGGGGCTGCCTCCAGCCTCAGTGGAGCTTTTCTTCCTTTTGTCAGGTTTTCCTTGGGAGCGCATCCCCCATCCTTAGCCTTTCTTTGCTCGTCCCAAAATGGTGGCGTCACTGACTGCTTCTGGTTTTGGCAGCTGGTAAACCGTTTAACAGTGTCTCGGGCTCCGGTGATAATTCATTCTTAAAATGTGCGTGCCTTCGATCGAGTGGACTCGGTGCAGTGCATTCGCCTCAGAGCAAGTGGTGTGAGAGAACCCGTTGGTCCCAAAATGTCAGTGTTTGCTGCTCCTCAGGTGGGGCCCTTCTGGTAATAGCTCGAATGCTAGCGGCCCGATAAGAGGCCCCGCGACCTGTCGACTCTTTACTGTGTGTGGTACCGGCTCCTTGCCACTTTAGGGGTTTGAATCTGTGTCGAGGGGACTCTCCAGGCTGCAACGTACAAGAAAGGTGCAAACATGAAATGCATGTTGCTTGTTTCGGGGGGCCTCGTTTGGCTAATTTAAAAATTCAATTGAAAAACAAACCAACACACCTCATTGGCCCTTGGAAAATCTGCACTTTTTTTTTTTCCCTTTTGTGGGGCAAACTTGGCATTTTGGTCTTGGTTTTTTTTCCCTTTTGAATCCCCCATAATGCATTATGTTTGCCCTTCCTTGTAGGGTCAGCCAGGAGAAAAGGGAAAGACCAGCCTGAGAGTCGGCGTCCTGGACCTTTGCCGGCCTCCCCTCCTCCTCAGTTGTCCCGCAACACGGGGGAGCAGGCTTCCAATACTAATGGTACACACCAGTTCTCACCAGCGGGGTTAACGCAAGACTTTTTCAGCTCATCCCTGGCAAGCCCCAGCCTACCCCTGGCTTCTACGGGAAAATTTGCACTAAACTCTCTCCTCCAACGACAGCTAATGCAGTCCTTCTACTCCAAGGCCATGCAGGAAGCAGGAAGCACAAGCATGATTTTTTCAACAGGTCCATACAGCACAAACTCCATATCTTCCCAAAGTCCATTACAACAGAGCCCAGATGTAAATGGCATGGCCCCGTCTCCCAGCCAGTCAGAAAGTGCTGGGAGCGTCTCCGAGGGCGAGGAGATAGACACGGCAGAAATCGCCCGGCAGGTGAAGGAACAGTTGATCAAGCACAATATCGGACAGCGCATTTTCGGACACTATGTCTTGGGACTGTCTCAAGGGTCCGTGAGCGAGATTCTGGCCCGGCCCAAGCCCTGGAATAAACTGACCGTTCGCGGCAAGGAGCCCTTTCACAAGATGAAGCAGTTCCTCTCAGACGAGCAGAACATCTTGGCCCTTCGCAGCATCCAAGGCAGACAAAGAGGTGAGAGGCTTTCAGGGGCTGGCGCCAGCGTGTGAACCCATCAGGGTTGTGTGGGAGTGTGTGTGTGCGTGTGACGGAACATTTGTGCATCACATCAGGTAAAGTTCTCTTGAGTTCTACCATCTCCAGGGTCCGAGGGTCGGCTGGCGTGAGCCAGAGCCCGTAGACTGGGGGGGTCTGGCCTCTGACACTCGCTCAGCACCTCGCATGTAGTAGACTCAGAACCTCAATCCCGCGTATCGAATCGGACGGAATTACACCCCGTACAACGTCCCGACGTGTGTAATGTCCAGTGGTCCGATGGGCAGTGGGTGCTGGCCCCACGGGGGAGGAGCCCTCAGGTAGCGTCTGGCCCTAGAGCCCAGGCGGCAGCAGCCGGGGTCAGGCCTGGGGAGAGCGTATCGGCCACGTGTCCTCTCCTCTTCCCCACGCGCACAAGGGAGCGTGTCCTGTGGCCAGCCTCCCTCCCGGTGTTAGCTTCTGTTAGCGATTGGCGCAGCCCAGTGAGCAAAACACGCCTGCCTTGAGTAAGATACGTGGAAGTTTTATTGAAACACCCTTCCTACCCCACCCTCCACAAAAAGATGAAAAGTCCATTCGCATCCCTGATTGAGAGAATCCCTTCCCCCTTGAACGACAGGATCATTCTGCTAAACCAGCAGTGGTAGAGAGGGGTAGATCTTATCAGACGCGTTTGAAACACGACAAATGGAGCAGGGAGACGTTTCGAACAGCGTCGATTTGCACAAAGCACATCGAGCTTTCTATGGCGATGTTAACTGAAATTGACTGTCTTTGGATGATTAATGTGAGCTTTGTTCCGGGGGCTGGTGGGCGATGCGCTTGGTGGCAGGCGGTGCTCCCTCCGTTTGACCCTCATGGCATTGGTGCCGTGGGCCACTCCTTAGGTCTGTCTGATCTTCCGCAGCAGAGCCATGGCCTCTGCCGGCCGGCTGGCCAGGGAAGGGCCTCTCAAAAGTTTCTAGTAACTCCCGAGTTGCACAGGAAGCCCTGAGCCCTTTCTGTAGCGACAGGCGGCTCAGATTTCATGTCACACAGCCCATATCGTCAACACCACCATCCCCCTGATTGTTTTGTTCTTACCACACTTGTTTTTCAACAGAGAATCCAGGCCAGAGCCTGAACAGACTATTTCAGGAAGTACCGAAACGAAGAAATGGGTCCGAAGGTATGTTGCAGGCAGGTGTTTTTCTTTGCAGTTAGTAAAACCTAGGAAGCAGCATGTCCTTAGCTGTGCATTTGGGTTAAAACTGTGCAGTGTGATTCTGGCCTGGAACCTGATGGAAAAACAGCTAGTAAGTATAAAACAAAGCACGGGCTCAAGTACGCACAGTCCCTCCTGAGCTGCCCGCACTCTACCGGGTGCGGAAGAGGCGAGGAGAGAAAGCGCCCCTAAGAATCAGTCCCCAAGTGCCATCCCAACCCCCCCTCAGGTTCAAATTACACCGTCCCCCCCGCCCTTCTCAGAAGCGGGCAGGAGCGTTAACAATCGTTGCTCTGAGAAAAATCAGGTGGCTGAGTCAGATGACATACTGCTGCTTCCTTGTACTTCCTTTTAACTCTGAACTGTGTTAAAGGTACTACGGAGTGGACAAATTCCAACAAATTCCAAACGTAATCGGTTCTCCTCTGGGCCCCCCCTGCGCTCCTTGGTGCTGCATCTTTAAAGGGGCTCCGCCCCCGCGGTCTGCTTGTTTTGCAATGGTTTGGTGTGGCGGTGCTTACTTAGTAAGGTAGCAGAGAATTAAGCTACGATACGTGGAGGGCTTCCAGAAAGAGCCGGGGCCAGCCCCCGGGGCCACAGTAGCTTCCGTGCGTCCGTGCACGTGGCTGCTCTGCAGAGCGTCACCAGGTGACCGAGGGTCTTGTCCTGGAGGGAGCTCTGCAGGCTACTCGCCTCATTCATAAATTTTTAAAAGACAGCATGTGACCAAAGAGCCGAAATAGGAAGCCTTCATCCTCTTCGCCTTGTATGTGCCCATGACTGATAGGTAATCCACCTCGACCCTTCACCTGCATTTCCCATCGTTGCTTTTTGGGGACACCAGCGTCCAACAGACGTGCAGAACCCTGAGCACAATCCCAGGCCAAAGCAATTGTCGGAGTTGCTTTTAAGTGACTCCCAAACACCACTGCCTTTTTCAGGCCTTCCTCTGGTTTTGTACTGGAGTGGGTGACCTGCTCTCCCTAATCCCGCCCCACGGGTGCCGTCCAGTTGGGGTAACCGTGAGAGCTTGTCCCGCTGGCCAGATGACCCTGACCACCAGGTAGATTCCGCAGGAAGCCCTTCCTGCCCAGGGCCGCAGTACCTGCTGTGAGGTTGCACACCCAGCAGGTACGGGTCAACGGGAGGCCACGCCTGCCTCCTTAACCGTCACCGGCCTCAACTCGGGAGCTATTGATCAGAATGACCTCTTCGTGCAGCCCTGATTTTTGTTGGTTGGTTTGTTTCACGTCCGGGTTTGATGTCATGGGTGTGGCTTCTCCCTGCAGGTAACATCACGACCCGGATCCGAGCCTCCGATACCGGATCCGATGAAGCAATCAAGTCCATCCTGGAACAAGCCAAAAGGGAGCTGCAGGTGCAGAAAACTGGTACGGAATCCACTTCTTTGACCACTGTCTTCCAGGGTTAATTAGAAGAATTGTCATGAGTGTCCTGGTTAGCAGTATTTAACTTTAAAAAAAAATAAAGTGAAAACCCCACACAATAGAACGTGTGTTTTCAGGCACTTAGGCAAGTGCAGAGGGGAGCAGAGGTCTGCGTGATCTTTTTCTTTTTCTTTTTATCACATCACGCCCTAGCATTGACTCAAGAAGGTATCCCTGGCCTAGTTTGTCCTTACACTTACGTGGACAGGTAGTCTGTACCAAACTGCCTTTTTCAAATGCCATACGGGCTTTGTTATTTGGATATATCCTTGACTGAACCCCGAAAAAGGATGGGTGCAAAATAAATCCTAAGCTGCTTCGCAGAACGAACGTTGCTAGGGAGGAGCGGGAAGTTGTAGTAGATGGATGTCCACCTCTGCAGTCAGGCGACCTCAGGACTCGGCCCTCGGTGCTCCCTGAGAGCTGCCTCATCCGACAGGAGAGAGCCGCCACGCTTCAGCCTCTCTCTGGCTGAGTTTGACGGCAAGGCACACCGGCCGTAGGTTCAGCTCAGACCTGCTGCCGGAGAGGAGACCGAGTGCCTGGGTTCTCTTGCTCTGGGGTTCAGCATAGGAACGCGCACCCACCCCGTACCCGTGAAGCCCCTGCTCTGCAGAGCCGCTCCCCCGCGGACCTGGTCACGGGGCTTCCGCCAGGCCTGGTGGCAGGCCACCACCCAGTCCCTCCCCTGGCCACGAGGCCCTTCCCCCAGGCCACCCCACTCCCACATGACTCATTCAGTGGTGAGCCCGGAGCTCCCTTCTGGGAACTAGGCCCGGCCTTGGCATTTTTACCTCCCCTGTCCTATTTAAACTAGGTCCATACCCTTGCCCTGAAAGGTAGATACTGTTATCCTACTGCTGATTCTCAAACTCAGGCTCCAAGTGAGACTTACTAAATGGCAGGTCCTGGGTGGAAACCCAGGTCTCTCAGCTCTTGTCCCAGCACCTCCCCCTCTGCAACCATCTGCCTCCTTACAGGGGCCCCAGTGCGGTGGGTGGGAGACCGTCCTGTGAGGCCCTGGAGCCTGACGCTGGGGGGACCTTCCATTTGATGTAGTTCTTCCTCTCCAGACCAGAGTTGACATGTAAGCCAGCCCCTCCTCTGGGTGGCTGAACAACCAAGAGGCTTGGCCGGGCCCCCTGACAGGGTGGGAGGCGGCCCCGGATCGAGAGCAGAAGGGCCCGGTTTCTGCCGCAGAGCAGTGCTGGTTCTGCCTGCACCCGAGGGTGCTGTGGGGATCGTGCAGGTCCGAGAAGCAGGGCCCTCGGTCAGCGGTGAAATTAAGTCCTCGAGAGGCCTAAAAGGTTGTCCCTGTTATTTGAAGCACTTTTCAGCCTCATTTAAATTGGAGAAAGAGCTGGATCCTGTGATTCCGTCCCCGAGATGTGAAGGTGTCCACGAGCTGGCACCACCTGCGGGAGCGTTCAGCCCGGCGCTCCTCAGCCAGGGCCTCGCTCCACAGTCGCCCGGGAGTTGGTCAAAAACGCGGGCTGCCGCAGCCCCACACCTGCTACTCAGGCAGACCCTCCAGGGCTGGGGCCTGGGCATGTGCATTTTAACAAGCCCAGCGGGTGATTCTGGGGCACAGCCCTCGTTAAGGGTCCTCGATCTAACCCACCACCCATCCCAAGCTCACAGACGGAAATCCCGAGGCCCGGCCGTGCCCTCTGAGTCCCCCAAGGTCGCAGCCCTGGGTTCCCGGGCCAGGGCCTGGCCGCTGTCCCCCCATCGTGGGGCTCGCTGTTGCCGGCCACACCACAGTCACCTGCCCAGGGGACAGTAAATGTGGGCCAGCCCAAACACGGCCGTGTCTCACTGGAGACTCCGGGCTCACGCTGCAACCCTTAACAGAAATTACGTCTCTAAAGGTTGACCCAAGCACTACAGTTCTGGAATTTAGCACATGAGAATATTGTTTAGAAATCCTCAGGGGTGATGGCACATCCCTGAGCGTCTGCCCACTTTCCCCGCTCCCCCCACCACACACGCTCGGGGTTAATGAACCCTTTCAGATGGCGTGAAGTAAAGGCCAGCGGGTCTCAGAGCGGTGGCGTTAGTCCGTCTGTCCCTGCCCGGACAGGATGCACGCGGGGTCCACTGACCGAGGAAATGCTGGTCCAATTCGAGTGGCTTGGTTGTCCCAGAGACTCCGCATTTTGTGGGAGGCCGGGTTAGAAGGAAGCGGAGGGAACAACAGCGCGCTCCCGACCGGAGGGCTCGGGCCTGCCACCACCTCACGCCTGTGTTTGCTCCGTGCAGCAGAGCCCGCCCAGCCTTCGTCCACAGCCGGCAGCGGGAGCTCGGACGACGCCATCCGCTCCATCCTGCAGCAGGCCCGGCGCGAGATGGAGGCCCAGCAGGCCGCCCTCGACCCCGCCTTAAAGCCTGCGCCGCTGTCCCAGGCCGACATCGCCATCCTGACCCCCAAGTTGATACCCTCCTCGCCCATGTCATCCGTGTCCAGCTACCCTCCGCTCGCCCTGTCCTTGAAGAAGCCCCCCTCCGCCCCCGATGCCGGTGCTTCCGCTCTGCCCAACCCCCCGGCCCTCAAAAAGGAGTCCCAGGACGCGCCCGGGCTGGACCTCCAGGGAGCGGCCGAGTCTGCGCAGGGGGTCCTGAGACACGTGAAGAGCGAGCTGGGCCGCAGCGGCGTGTGGAAGGACCACTGGTGGAGCACGGTGCAGCCGGAGAGGAAGAGCGCCGTGCCCCCCGAGGACACCAAGTCGGAAGAAGCCAGCGGCGCCAAGGAGAAAGGTGGTGGCAGCCAGCCGCGGGCCGAGCGCAGCCAGCTCCAGGGACCCTCGTCGTCGTCAGAGTACTGGAAGGAGTGGCCCAGCGCCGAGTCGCCGTACTCCCAGAGCTCGGAGCTGAGCCTGACTGGAGCCAGCCGCAGCGAGACCCCCCAGAACAGCCCCCTGCCCTCCTCCCCGATCGTGCCCATGTCCAAGCCCGCCAAGCCCTCGGTCCCTCCGCTGACCCCGGAACAGTACGAGATCTACATGTACCAGGAAGTGGACACCATCGAGCTCACCCGGCAGGTGAAAGAGAAGCTGGCCAAGAACGGCATCTGTCAAAGGATCTTCGGGGAGAAGGTAAGGGGTTGGTTCAGGGGCCTGGCTTTTCCCGTCTCTCTGGAGGACGTGGCCATAGCCCCTTTAGTGAGCCACAGAGCAGAAAGGGTCGCCCGCCCCCAAGCTTGCGGAGAAGCTGGCCGGTGAATGTTCCATTTGCCGCGTCCCCTTAGGGGCGAGACTCTGGGCTAGGCCCCGTCACCCACCACGCTCCTTTTGACTCCCGGTGACACTGTGAGGGGGCGCTAAAGTCGCCATCTGACAGATAAGGACAGTGAGGCTCAGGGAAGTCAGCTACATGCCCCCAGCCGGCCGGTGGCTCAGTTCAAGTCCCACCTCTCTGCCAAGTGTGGCCCAGACGCACCTCCGCAGGCTTTTTTTTGGCCAAAAAAGATCTGAGCCCATAGGGAGACCACCAGTGTGCAGAGAAGCAAAAAGCACAGGGTAGGAAAAGCTTGTGTCACGTGATAGGCATAATCGTACCTTTCTCATAACTCAGAAGGCGCTTGGTGAAGCGACCTGCCCAGAATCCATAGCTCTTGCGGCCCGGGCCATGCCCATAGCTGGCCCTAAAAGCCCCCATTTCCATGTGTTCCTTCCCAGGCTCGTGAAAGTACAGTGGTTTGTGAGTAAGCCCCCCCAGACCCTTTCTGTTCTTGGCACTTCCCGGTAACAGATTCTGGATAATGGGGATTTACCAGGGCCGTAAAATAGAAGATAAACATAATACCCCAGCATCATTTCAGATTCAGTAAGTAATTACTGAGCATAATGAGAAGCACTCCACTCCCCTAAAAGGCAGCCTCCCTGAGGGGCACGTAGCGGGGGCGGTAGTGGCCTCCGAGGGGCCCCACGCAGGGTCTCCGTCCCCTCCTGCATCCCCCCGAGCCCCACACTGTCCTGCCTTCCATTCAGTGTTTGCAGCGTACCGTGCCTCAGATCCTTACAACATCTCATTGTGATCTCTTTGTCCTGATTTTGCAAAAGGTGATGGGGTGGAGAGAAGTGAGGATGAGAATTTAAAGTCCCTTGAAATTTCTAGTTCAGTGTTGTAAAAATATCATTTGAGAACATTTAAATAGACATTTGTGCTCATGCCTTAAATTTAGCAGAGACTTAATAGCGTTGAACTTGTTTGGCCCGTGAGTGCAGTTTATTCTGGAACTTGAGAACTTTTCAAAAGAGTGATCGAATGCAGCCCCTAAATATCTCTGGGCTGCATCTGTGTCCTGTGGGGGGTGTTTGTGCCCATACATATGTATGGCCATATGTGAGCGTTCCGAAAACTCGGGCATGTACGTGCAACTTGCCGGTCGTCTGCAGTGAGTCTTACTCCGAGGCTGGCGCCCCCACCGCCACCGGCGCACCTCTGGGCCCCCACTGCAGAGCAGGATGTGGTCAGAGAGAGCAAACCTCTCTAGAGGTCAGCCTGGCCCAGCGCCACAAAGACGACTGGCCTCCCGCATCCCGCCAACATCCGCTGCTCCGGCCGCTAAACGGGTCTGTGGCCCCAGCACCTCCACCTTCCGTGACACCACCAAAGAGCAAGATGGTTTCAGCGCTTCCTCCTCAGGGTGTCGGGACGACAGCCCCGCGGCCTCGGCAGGATCGAGGCCCTGGGCGAGATCCCATCCCCTCTCCCTGGGAGCAGGTAGCTAGGACTGTAACCGTGGGTTCCCCGTGCCAGGGCATCAGCCCACCGGTGACCTTGAAAGCTGATTCCCCCGCCCCAGGCTGGCGCCATCCACCAGGCAGGGACGGATGGGGCGGGGGCGGGGGTCTGTGCTCAGCCCCTAAAGTGCTCACTGGGTGTCGTCCGTCTCAGCCTCTCCACGGCTCTCTGTGCATCGCTGGCGGATTTTGTGGCCTCGCACTAAATCCTGGCCACTGATGCCATGCCTTTGGTTGCCACCGCAGGTACTGGGCCTGTCCCAGGGCAGCGTCAGTGACATGCTGTCCCGGCCAAAGCCTTGGAGCAAGCTGACCCAGAAAGGCCGCGAACCCTTCATCCGGATGCAGCTCTGGCTCAACGGCGAGCTGGGCCAGGGTGTCCTGCCTGTGCAGGGGCAGCAGGGGCCAGGTAAGGGTGGCCCTGCCCTGGGCGACTACGGGTGGGGGCGGGGAAACACGCGGGGAGGCCGCGAGCTGCCCCCTTCCTGCACAACCTGTTGCCATGAGACCGACTTCAGTTTTGAGGGGAGAGAAGATTGTGCCTAGCTAATTTTATAAGCAGCGGAAAATGAGTTACTAATTAAGAAAATGCTGTTTATACATAAATATAAGTAAAAGTCAAGTAGCTAAATCAGGGAATCAGAAGAAGAAATCAGCCAAAGGCACAGAGGTGAGAGATAGAACGGGCTCTGGCTTCCACCTGCTCCCGACCGGGGGGTCCCGGCTTTTCCCTGGCAGAGCAGTGCCTGCCTGCATGGCCCCGAGTTCTGGCCGCCCCCCGGAAGGAGTGGGACCTTTGGGGCCCTTAGCTGTCCCCGCCCCGCTGCGCTGGGTGCATTAGGAAGCTTTAAGCACCTGGGATTTGTTTCCTCATTTAATTGTAACCCTTTGTCTTATTTAGTTCTCCATTCTGTGACGTCACTACAGGACCCCCTGCAGCAGGGCTGTGTGAGCTCAGGTAACCAGCTGATTTCTGTTGTCTTGTGTGAAATATTTCCCTCCCCTGTACATTTTCCTGTCCTCTGGTCTGTAGCCGGGAGACTCAGAGGATCCCTGGCTCTGGATCTGAAAACACCGTATCCCGTTGGCACGCTAGGTTCTCGTGGTCCTAGTTTCTAATGGAGACCGGGAGAGTCGACAGCTGAGTGAGGGTTTCCTCCAGCGTTTTCCCGCTCACCACCAAAGTCTTTCATCGGTCTGTGGCTTCTAGGTGTGCAGGCCTGGGGGCTGGGGTCCAAGTCAGAGACAGATTCTGTACCCGGGGGGGGCTTCCATATGAATGGGAGGGGACAGGATCGGGCGCACGATGCTCCCCCAGCAGGGTCATGGCGGGGAGAAGTTGAGTCCATCTGGAAGAACTTGGGGCCACCTTCAAGCAGGAAGGCTGGAGAAGAAGCAAGCGGCCGGCAGGGTCACAGAAAGGAGATGGCAGAGGGCCCCTGGGAGCCGTTTGGGGTGTGAATGGATACAGAGCCAGTGATGTCCGGAAGAGTGGGGCTGAGGATGCGAATCCAGCCGGGAGGCGGGTTGGGGTGGGGGCGCCTGGAGTGCCCGCCGGCTGGGACCCTCACCTCATCTGAAGCCCCGAGGTCTCTGAGGCGGCATCTCTGCCCTGCGGACCCCTTGCGGCGACACCGTGCTCCCGGACCCCCTCGCGTGTCCTCCCCGCACTCCCGCTAGCGCAGAGCTTGGCTCACCCAGCTTCCAGGAACAGCCAGCGTCTTGAGCTGCTCCTCGTTTTTCCTTTATTTTTCTAAACATGTTGATTAGTCTCCATATCCCATTGATTCATTGAAAACACAAACAAAGCTAAGTGAGGAGCGTGAAGCCCGCCAGCCCGCTGCAAGTTTTACGAGGGGAAACATGTGTAGCACGGGGAACAGCTGGGCGGCAGCGGCCGTTACCGCTGCGAGATGCCAAACCCACGCACAGATGCAGCCCGAGCGGGGCACTTGCCGCAAAGTTCCCGGCTGAGCTTGTGCTCGGGGTGTTCCCGATTTGAATTTGACCAAAATGGGGGTGCGGAAGGCCATATCGTACCTGGATCGTTGGTCTCCTTGGCTGGACATCTATGTGGAGAGGTTTGTCCACCCGCAGAAGGATCCCGGGTACTTCCTTCTCGCGTCATTTCCGGGTCGCTCAGTTTCGTTAGCAAGCCCCAGAGAACTCACCCAGCCCTGGCTGGCCTTCCAGATGCATCAGGGCAAATAATGCACAGAGTCGTTTGTGTCAGAGCTTTGCAGACATTTGCGTGGAAAATCAGCCTTGCCTCTTACTCCCGCGGAAAGCTGGCCTCCCCTTAAGCCCTCCGAGAGTATTTGCTGCCCCACCAGAGTCAGGACTAAACTTGGCAGGATGTGACGAACGTTTTTTAGATCAAAATCGCTTATTCCTAAATAAAACGTGAAGTCTCCTGCAGTTCCAGGTCAGTTATGATCGATGCCAAAATCTCCTCCGTGTGCGAACAAATCCTTAAAAAGAATGGCCTTTCGCTCTTTCATCGAACGGCAGGTAGTTGCTACCCTGTTGGAACCTCCATAGTCACATTCCCAGCGTGGGAAAACCACGCCGGGCTTCTCAGAGGGACGTAAATGGTATTTGTAAGATATCGGATTACTTTATAAAATAAAGCGATGCATAGAACTCGTGGAGAGTCTGCAGATTGGCGGAGGCAGGGAGCCTCTGGATAAAAGTGAGCACTGAAGAACTTCTCAGTGGTTTCTGTGAAGAGGTAGCAGGCGGGTCTCTCCCTGTGTCTCCTCAGCCAGACGGGAGACGGATTGCAGACCGTTTCACCCACCATGCCCGTTGTCAGTCAGCAAGAGGGAATCCGTAGAAACAATAAGCATGATGATTGTGGAGAGAAATGGAAAAATATTTCATATATCCTAGGAAAATAAAATTTTTTTAAGATTTATTTATTTAGTTTAGAGAGTGCACACGCATGCGTGCAAGTGTGGGGAGGGGAGGCGGGCGGAGGAAGAGAGAGAATCTCCAACAAACTCCCCGCCGAGTGCGGAGCCGGATGCGGGGCTCGATCCCAGGACCCTAAGATCATGACCTGAGCCCAAACTACGAGTTGGACACTCAACTGACTGAGCCACCCAGACACCCCTAAACTTTTTAATATCATGATGGTAGCTAAGCCAAAATGTTTCTCTGGATTGGCAAAGACTAGAAAGTCCTTGTCAAAACAAGAAGGACAATTATCACAGTGGCAAGATTGTGGGTAGTAGTTTTCCTTGTTTGAAATTTCTTTACTATCAGTGTTATCCTTTCAAGAGTATTTCTAAAAATCAAAGTAGCTGAGCTTTTCAGTATGTGGAATTTAGATTCGAAAAACAGAATTATTTTATGATGATGAGTATTGGTAAATCGTCAGGATGGATGCCCATAGGAGACTCCAGAATCTTCCCCAACAGAGTAGAGAATCAGTGTCTCTGAGGAGACCTTCAGCAATGCTGCCCCAAAGGTACGGTAGTGAAGCCCCCGGTTCTAGGATTTCCCCAGGATCCTGCTTCTCTGTTCTCGCCATGGCTACCACGGAATCCTTCCAAGAGGCCCCCTGGACCTAGAAAGATGCTGTCCTTGGTCATGGCTCCACGAGACCTGTGTCGAAGGCGGCTCAGCATGGTAGAACCAGCTGCCTGCAGGAAGATCAGTCCAACCCTGGGTTGGTTGGTTCCTGAACATTGGCGAGAAGCGCCCATCGTGTGAGCCTCCAGGCCTCTGAGCTGGCCTGGTGGTGAGGGTAGCCTCCCAAGTGTGGAAGGACTCTGGAAGACTGGCCTTCTGTCCACAGCCCTTCAGTGAGATAGGTATGGTCTCAGAGCAGAGAATGAGAGGGCCCAGGGTAGGGCTCTGTGCTCAGTTACCATGGCGATAAGGTGCCCACGAGTAGAGTAGCCTCACTCATCTGAACAGCAAACTGCTGACACAAGAATCTGTTTGCCTCACTAAAGAATTCCTGCCTGCCTCTTTCTGCCTGGCGCTGTCACCCCTCAGGGTCTCTGTTTTCCTTAATGATCTGTATGTCAAGCTTGCTGATGAGTTTTACAACGAGAGAGAGACTGAACTTTGAATTACATCACCAGTTCCTTTTGGTGACTGGAACCATTCCTGAATGTTCCTTTGATGATCTGAGCGTTGGGGCGACAGCCTTGGACATTCAGGAAGGTTGATGCCCTTTTCTGCTGGTGACCTGTGCTTTTTCTTGGACGCTGTGGGGGCCTTGATGAAGAATCAGGAGAGCAGGGAGTTCCGTGCCAATCACATGAGTACCTTTAAAGAGGGGGGGGGGGCGGTTAAAGGCCAGAACTTCCGATCAGATGCTTGTTAATGTATTTCCAGGCAGTCTAGTCCTCTGCAAACATTTTTGAGTTGGCTTCTTTCAAAGTTCCCAGTGTCTTGGGGAGGGGCGTCTGCAATTCTTTCCAGGGTCGTCTTTGATCGAAGATGGCAAACGTATTTAAAGGTGGAGTTGACGGGGAGGCCTTTGGGGATTGATTCTCCACGTCTTCCTTTTGTCTGTCTTCCATCCCAGGTATCGAGCATCAGCCGACCTCACACTGCTCAGCAATCGCGGGGCTCTGGGGAAGCCAAGAAAGCACTTACAGAAGGGGTGGGGCTGTGAGGCTTGTTTTCTCTGAGTGGGGCCTGCTCTCCATGCTTATCAGGCAGCAGGCTTTTTTAAAGGGAAGAAAACCTTGAGGTTCAAGGAAGGGAGTTGTGTGCGTGCATACGTATAGCTAGGTAGGTAGGTAGGTACGTAGATCGGTAGGTAGATACGATCTAGTAAACCACTGGATTTTTTTTTTTTTTCCATTTTCCTTCCCTGAAGCTCATTTCATATTCACAGTTCCTTGGTGTGATTAATCTTTTTGCCCCAAGGGAAGGAAGGAGACTAGAGACAATCTAAAAAGGGCAGAAAAAAAGGAGGGGGGGGACAGATTTCCCTGGATGCGACGTCAGTCATTACATTACAGAGTACAAGCGCGCTCCGCTTTGTACGCGAGAGCATTTGGTTACTGTAGCTAATAAGCTTCCACCCCGGCCTCAGATGGATTATTGCAAACTGTCTAAGCGATAGGGTGGCCCAGCCTCCTCGGATTAATTCTAAAACATCCAGCTTTTTTCCCAATGTGTCAGTCAGGGACTGTGGGTTCCAAGTCTTCTCCCCCCGTGGAGAATTCCATGGCTCCGTGTCACTGTTCTCAGTCAGCAGGGCATCAGCTGCCTCTTGAGGGGACAGCTGCTGCAGTGTCTTGAACGTGGGTGGTCTCACATGTGCCCCCTCGCTGACATGATGGCCACGGGCTGGGTGCTGTACGTGGCCTCATGCACCCAGGAGAGTCCCGTGGCCACAGCCCCTGGTGAGGGACAGGCTGACATTCCTTTGTAATATGCATAATGACTCTCGTTTCGTGCCCGTGAGATGACCAGGAAAATATGTCCAGGGTTTTAGCGCTTTGAACTCAGCAATAGGATTCTCACGCAGGCATTTGGATAGCGTGTTAATAGGAAAAGGAGGGGCTAGTTGCACCCCCCAGAAGATTCCATGGCACTGTCTAAAACTCATCATCCAGCGCCTTAGACTAGACTTGATTTGATTTTTTTTTCCCCTTTTCTTTTTTTTTTTTTTTAAGATCTTATTTATTTATTTGAGAGAGAGAAAGAGCATGAGCGGGGGGAGGGGCAGAGGGAGAAGCCGGCTGAGCAGGGAGCCCAACATAGGGCTCGATCCCAGGACCTGCGCCAAAGGCAGACGCTTAACCGACTGAGCCACCCAGGCGCCCCCTTCTCTTCTCATCAGAATAAATCGACAATAGTAACTGCTGGTTTTCTCCAGAAAGAATTACTCTAACTCCTGAAAAGAATTGTATATAACTGACTTATACACAGCCACAGACAACAGACAGACAAAGGAGAATTCTGGAAGGCCACGTGTTAACCAGAAAG